TCCTCTGACCAATAGGGTCACGTTAATACACGCAGCACGCACACCTCAAATTTACGACCTGCACGCGTCTCTGCTGCGCTTGTGTGCTACCACCACCTTTGCAACACCTTCTGTGTGTGTTCGACGGATAAGTCCACACAGGTACCAACTGTTTGCATTCCACTTAGCATTGGGCCCTGAAATGACTAATAACAGTTTCTAATTTCTTCCTGGGTACATCCAATCGGTTGAGGCCGATCATTAACGCTGGCGGTTCCAGGCTTCGATGGCAGAGCATTCCGACTAATGTACAAATATCACAAGTGTCACTTCGGCTATATTTGGACTCGGCGCGGCAAGGCAGAAACGAATTATGGTTGCACTAGTGTTTCGGCTTAATGAGTGAAAAATATGCAATTAGTTATTGAACAAGTGCTTTTGAAATCGCTCATTGCAGTATTACGGTCGTAAAATTTTGGGTGGAGACTGTTTAAAATTTTATCTGGTGTACATTTTATAAGTAATGATAATTTTGTTTGTTTCAATTGTTTTGAGTGATATGCTATACCAATACTTGTTAATGATAATTATCTTTTAAGGGATTGAAAGATGCAAATTTAGAAACTCGTGTCTCATTAAAACAAGAAGAGGCAAGCTAGTAAAGCTGGAGTGCTCAGAATTTTGTTAGAGTAATTCTGAATGGCTATTGACTGGAAGTCTTTTCATGCATCTTGTCTGGGCCGAGTGTAGTCCATTCATTGGCATTATGAGGTAATCCTATACAATAGCACTGCCCGGCTCAGTCAGATAGGTACAAAGAGGACACTAAGCTATACATGTAGCCCTCTGAGATCAGCAAAAACCATGCATATTTGTGAAGTTATAATTATTTTCTGTTGGTTTTTTTTGGGGGGGGGGGGGGGGGTTTGTCATTTGCCGTTACTTTTCCACGTGGTGGTTTGGCATTTCACCCGTTGCGGCCTGTCCAATTGAATAATGGCTGAATTTACCCGACACCTGGGCCCAAGCACGCTGCGGTAAACCACAAGAAATTAAGGGGGACCCTTGAAATTGACGGGATACCAGTTTATTGATTTGATTTGTGTAAATTCAAAACATGATACTTGGGCTGGCTTTCAGTGTGTACATGTAGAGTGCATGGTCATGGACTCTTGACACGTACATGGGATCAAACCCTAATGGGGAAAATGGTGTTGTGTCCTTGGGCATCACACCATCACCACTCTCTACCAAATTCCAAAAATTATACTTTCAGTAAAGAAACATTTATTTCCTATTCATCCCCCAAAATGAAAAATGTATGCAACAATAAACAGCATAATAGAGGCCAGTAGAGCATAGCTTGTATGAGGCATGCCTTTTCTGTCCAAAATTTGTATTATATTCAGGTACAAGCATTAACAATTGCAAGCACTCACAAAAATGTGAATAAGGGGCTATGAACACAGTCATAAAGTTGGATGGGCTATAGATACAGTGTACATGTAGTTAAATAATGAAAGGTTTGCGAAAACACCATGTGCTAATAATTTCTCAACTAAGAGAATGGTTGTGAAAAGAACCAGAGGTATAAACTCGACGTTCCGATCAGTATGCCCTGACCGTCTTCATTATACCTCTGGTTCTTTTCAGAACCATTCTCTTAGTTGAGAAATTATTCGCACATGGTGTTTCCCCAAACCTTTCATTATTTAGTATCTCCACCATGCAAAACCTCAAATCTTACGTACATGTAGTTGTAATGCACCAACTGTGCAATACTGAAGATACGGAACATACTCTTGCATTTTAAAATGTTATGACCTTGAGTTGTTATGATAGAATGTTAAATCTGTCCATAGTGATTTAAAATATATATAAATCCAGTACATGTACATTGCCTGAAAGTAGCGCAGCCAGCTCTGAGCAATTTTAACAGTAATTGAGTTTTTTTCTATGTACTGGTTCATCACTCCATTGCTGTTTCATCAATGTAGTAGACCAGCGACCACTTATGTTACTCCATACCCGACCACTTCAAATGTGTAGCGTCTTGGGTACTTAGTTTCCATGGAAACCTGCTGGGGTTACCTACTGTAGCTTCCTTCGAGTGCACTTCGGGAAATGGAAGAAATCCAAAGAGATTTACAAAATGTAATTGCGCTCTTTGTTTTAGGAATAGATGCTCACAAAGTAGATTTTTCCAAGCTACCCGTACACAATTTTTGTTTTCTGAGTGACATAATGTATATTCTGACTGAGGTACAAATGGGATTGAATTTTGCATGTCCTCCTCCATCGTCCCCTATCCCCCCCCCCCCCCCCCCCCCCCCCCCCCCCCCCCTTGTCTCCCATTCAACCCCCCCCCCTTCAGTCATTTCCACTCAATTTCCCCTCCCCTAACCCCTCCCCTAACCCATACCCTCAATCCTCACCCCTCCCCCTCATCCCCCTACCCCTCATTCCCCTACCCCACCCCACCCCCTTATCCTCACCCCCTCCCCTTACCCCCACCCCCTCCATCCCCTTCTCCCATCCCAACCCAATTGCTTGTGGGAATTCTCATGTGCATAGTAGTTGGCTGGCTCATTTTATGGAAATTACTCTTGCGCAAGTAATGACGTCTGGGAAAACAGAATGGAGGTCTTGTGATTGGCTTGAGAGGTGTCAATAAAGTCTGGCGGCCTGTGCATTAGAAACCAAACCAGCTCCATGAGAGACCCTCTTTAATTAAAGGAGTCTTGTATGGCAGAAGCAGGCCGTTCAGGTTTACAAACGCGACTCTTCCAAGCTGCTGAAGTTTGCTTTTGTTTTTGATGCTTGCTGAAAATATGCATCAGAAACATGTACATGTAATGTCCCCCACAATAGTACAGTAGGCCTACTGGTACCTGTAATGCAAAAATCATGTAGATTATGTACATGTTTCTCATTTGAGAAAGAACTGTGTTCATTGTTTTGACACATAAATAGATTCTTTAGCCAATAAATTCTTTAAAGGGAAAATACAACATTTGCAAACATCAAAAAATAAAACTACCAAATCATTTTGAAATACCTTGCTGGACTGTTAGTGAATGACAGTGTAAAGCATCCTGTAAAATCATGGCACCTGGTATACTGTCATTTTCAAGAAAAGTGGTACTTTTGTATCAATTTCCAACGCTGATCGGCCGATCAGCGTTGGAAAAAACTGGCTTTTTTTCAAATACTGTCCCGAATTGACCATCACACTTGTTTGCAATCGATTACAAACCTATGAATGGGTACGAGCCAGCTAGACTGGTTTCCTGACCTTACAATTCCCCAATGTATGTAAACTGGTCTGTTTCTTCTTATATGGAGTCAGGGAACCAGACTACAGGAAAATGATTGTTTTTCTTGGTTTTTATAGCATTTTCGAACCCAAAACCTCAAAAAAGTCAGTGTAACTATATTTGCTATATATTTCCAACCCCCCAATTCCATCCATTTCTGAAAATTACAGCAAAAGCAAATGATGTATATTCCCTTTAACCAAGCATCCACATTTCCATGTATTGTACATTACATGTATACATGTACATGTACATGTACATGTGAATTAACATACATGTACATACATGTGTTCATTCAGAATTGTATTAAATAATATGCAGATACTGTACATGTACAATTTTTTTGGCAAATAACATACTTACAAGTAAACAATAAATGTACAGTGTTCATGTTATGCACACTACAAAAATACACAGTACATGTGTCTGTCACGTTTCAATTATGTTCCAATTCATTTAATTTCATCTCAAACAATTTTTTGAAGAGGACATTTTTAAAACTTTGTATATGTACATGTATGTTTAGCTATTTGAACATTAGATATTGTAAATGTAAACAAAAGACAGTGGTAATATTCCATAGTATATACATGTACCTAGGCCCCGTGGTATAACAAATTGTTTCCTGGTATGCATATTCTTGCCAAGCTGTAAAGCAAAACCTGTCTCCTCTGTCATTTTGTGAAATACTTGTCATTTCATTCTGACAGCTAGATCTCCAACATGGCTTGCAGAATTTCCGATATAGGCTTGGAGCGATCTTACATAAAGCGTGTTTCATGCTACGCACGTTGATTGGATTTTTTTTTATCTCCGATACTACACTGGAGATTTAAGAATCATGTGGACAATTTACTTTGTGAATGAAATGACCTTGCACTTGGGGTGGGGATGGGGGTGGGGGTAGGGGGTGGGGGGGGGGGTAGGGGTAGTAACCCAAGTATGCTACTAGCCGCAAACAGATTCAGTAGCTGGCTTGATTTGTATGTGCAAATTCAGATATTGTTGCAGCTCAATTATACATTGTATCTAGCTGTGGGCTGCACTGTTTTGCAATAAGTACATTGTACAGTATGTATAATGCATAACCCACAGAGTATTTGAAATATGACAGTGCAGCATGTAGAGCTCAGTCATTTTAAAGGGTCCAATGACATTACTTTTTGTCTCACAAACCAGTGAGTTGATCGTGCATTTCTAGCACACATGCATGTACTGGCACATACCCATTTGTACCATGACATTGTTAATTAATTAATTAATTAAATTAATTAATGGTGACACATTCGTGGGATTTTAAACTTAGAACTTTGCTGATAGGAACATGGACATACCCGTGCCAAAATATGAAATGAACGAAGAGATATGAAGAGAACGAAAGAGTGGACATTAAAAATTGTTGTTCTCTTTTTAACCAATACGCGTGCCAACCCTTACAAGCTCACACTGTATCCTGCAGACCAATAACTCATGAACAGTGAGACACTGTCATCACTGTCCATAGTTTACCTTAAACAAGAGCCATGAAATGGACCATTTCAGTTTTAGCCATAAGCCCCGCCTACCAAGTGACCTCATTTGACCAAGTGAGTGTGGTCACCTGACCAAAAGTCATGATCTAATTGATCAATTTTTGGAAGGAACCATTGGGCCCTGATGCTATAGCTTTCTTTAAACACTCCATTTTCTTTATTATTTCAAAAGGTCTCACCCCAGCAAACAATCCCAGAAGCCCCTGGACTCTTCAGAGGAGGAAGAGCAACAAGACAACAGTTACTACCGGGAGGACGAGATTGACCGCGACGACAAGGCGGACAGAGACAAACGAGAGGAGAGATACCGAGAGGATGATGAAGAAGAAGAACAACTGGGATCTGATGATGATGAACAGGAGGATCCTAAGGATTACTGTAAAGGTGGGTTGTAGTGGAATCCATCACAAGTCCTGACAAGTCCATCACTAGAAGTCCTCATATTTTCATCACTAGAAGTCCTCATAAGTTCATCACTAGAAGTCCTCGTAAGTTCATCCCTAGAAGTCCTCATAAGTTCATCACTAGTCCTCACAAGTCCATAACAAGCCCACACAAGTCCTCACAAGGTCATCACAAGTCCATCTTAAGTCCATCTCAGTTCTTCACAAGTCCATCACAAGTCTTCACAAGTCCATTACAGATCTCACAAGTCCCTCACAAGTCCCTCCCAAGTCCTCACAAGTCATCACAAGTTTATTACAAGTCATCACAAGTCCTTACAAGTCCATACAAGTCCTCACAAGTCCTTACAAGTCCTTACAAGTCCTTACAAGTCCTCACAAGTCCTTACAAGTCCTTACAAGTCCTCACAAGTCCTTACAAGTCCATCACAAGTCCTTACAAGTCCTTACAAGTCCTCACAAGTCCTTACAAGTCCTTACAAGTCCTCACAAGTCCTTACAAGTCCTCACAAGTCCCTCCCAAGTCCTCACAAGTCATCACAAGTTTATTACAAGTCCTTACAAGTCCTCACAAGTCCTTACAAGTCCTTACAAGTCCTTACAAGTCCTCACAAGTCCTCACAAGTCCTCACAAGTCCTCACAAGTCCTCACAAGTCCTTACAAGTCATCACAAGTCCTTACAAGTCCATCACAAGTCCTTACAAGTCCTTACAAGTCCTCACAAGTCCTCACAAGTCCTCACAAGTCCTCACAAGTCCTCACAAGTCCTCACAAGTCCTTACAAGTCCATCACAAGTCCTTACAAGTCCTCACAAGTCCTCACAAGTCCTTACAAGTCTTTACAAGTCCTCACAAGTCCTTACAAGTCCTTACAAGTCCTTACAAGTCCTCACAAGTCCTCACAAGTCCTCACAAGTCCTTACAAGTCCTCACAAGTCCTCACAAGTCCTTACAAGTCCATCACAAGTCCTCACAAGTCCTCACAAGTCCTCACAAGTCCTCACAAGTCCTCACAAGTCCTCACAAGTCCTCACAAGTCCTCAAGTCCTCACAAGTCCTCACAAGTCCTCACAAGTCCTCACAAGTCCATCACAAGTCCTCACAAGTCCTCACAAGTCCTCACAAGTCCTCACAAGTCCTCACAGGTCCTCACAGGTCCTCACAAGTCCTTACAAGTCCTCACAAGTCCTTACAAGTCCTTACAAGTCCATACAAGTCCTTACAAGTCCTCACAAGTCCTTACAAGTCCTTACAAGTCCTTACAAGTCCTTACAAGTCCCTACAAGTCCTCACAAGTCCTTACAAGTCCTCACAAGTCCTTACAAGTCCTCACAAGTCCTCACAAGTCCTCACAAGTCCTCACAAGTCCTTACAAGTCCTCACAAGTCCTTACAAGTCCATCACAAGTCATCCAGTCACAGGCTATTCAAAAGAACTGTCACAAAGGGCCTTGTTATGGTTCATCCTTTGTTACTTGTGACAGGACTTGGGCCTATGACTCACTTGTGATGGAAATGCTGTGAAGGAAATGCTGAAGTAGCAAAGCATCATGGGTAGCTTACTGTCATGTTCGGTACACATAAGTTTCGTGCGCAAATCTGCAATCACGTGAAAAAAGGCTTTATTTTAGGTTTCTTTTACACCTCTTATGCACAGAAAGATCCACCTGAATTAGTGTTAGCTGCAAATAGTTCAAAATGTTGAAGTATTTATTCCATAACTATGGGCTCTGCACAAGTACCCCCCCAACGGTAAGAAAGGGAGAGTTGGGGGAGACACTGGGGGAGACATTAGAACGCATTGCTGACAACGCCAGATGCTCACGCAAATACCGTACACCATGGGCTTCTGCACATTGAGAATTAAATAAACCGTGCATACTTCGTGCTTTTACCCGCATGTGTTCCGTCCATGGGGCTCTCGAAAGTGGTAAAAAAAAGCGCCCTCTGTCGCTGGCGCACGTAGCCCATTGTGCAAACCTAAAGTTTGCACAGGTTCATTCACTGATGGCTTATAACTGTTACTGCCTCAATTGGTCCCCCCCCCCCTTTTCAGTATACATCAGGTCAAGCACCCATTGGGTCAGATCTAAGTGCTTGCTTGAGGAGCAGAGCAGTCTTCCGACCAGCTGTCGGGCAAACAACAGCCGTGAGATTCCAAGAGTGAATGGAATGATTCGCTCGCTGGGTTGGGATCCCCAAAATAGCCGCACGTGAGGGGTTGGTCATTTGGGTCACGCATCTCTCCCGTCCTGGACATGTTAGCAGAGAATCTGAGGTTGCTGCCGGTATGCTTAGTGGATGGTGCTGAAACTTGGTGTTTTATAATGGGTTTTTTGGGGGGAGGGGGTGCCGAGTGGTACATGTATCTGTTTTGTAGGCATTAGGCCAAAATAAAACAAATGCTGCGTTTCTCGTAACCGGACTGACCCCAAACATTTAGGTGTACACAGGGCCCCCAGCAGAATTTTCCAAAGTACACAATATAGCACTTTCTTAAAGTATACATGTACCTACTTAAATTATACAGCATAATGAGATTGTGCAGTTCACATTTATTTAGAATCATTTATAAATGCGTTCATGAAATTTTCATTTGGTACATTAAAATTTGAAAATGCACTATACGTGACATTTTGATATATGTGACATACCGGGGTACAAGTAACTTCCCTGACACATTTAATTATTATTATTAAAGGAAGATTATCTGAAAGCTAGGCGTGACAACTTCATTGACTACCCAGCTTGCTTTATTAAATCTTTTCCATCATTTACAGTTTTGTACATGTGACAAATCTATTCTTACAGATACATGTACCGGTACATGCACAGTTTACATGTACATGTATTGGTACATGTACGTACATGTACATGTACATGTACATGTATGTTCTTCTTTGGAGAGTATGAATTCTTGGTCTAAAAATTGGACCCAAGATGGATGCATCTGGCTACCAGCTGGCGTGAATCATGCATTGATACATACACCTACGCATGAATGGACCCAGTCACATTCCCTGGAACATTAAGCCTACCAGTGTGGGATATTTCATAATCATTAGACATGATTGATGGGTTGTTTAACCGTCATGCTGTGGCATAAACCATAATAATGCTTGTCTTGCCTTTTCATTCATGTACATCTCAAAAAATTATGGAAAGCCTGTCTGATGGACAGTGAGGGAAAAGTGGAATACAAAATGAAGTTTAAAAAGATCTGCTAATCTCCAGCTGGCATTTTCTGCCACCCTTGTACTGGTATTGCATCCTCAGTGGCATTACACTCACACCCCGACCTTCCATATTGCTCTTCTTGGAAATTCCTGGAAGCTTTCCACGTTAATGATTTACCATCTCCTTAGTTTCATAACCGGTGCGTTGACAGACAGCATACCACGCATTGCACAGGGCCCATTGCTCGGCACAGGTGCGTGTAGTTAGTGGTAAATACACTAGTCCATTGCTGTCAACAAGTTTGTTATGATTATCAACCCATAGCTTCAATACAAGAAATACATGCATATGTATTTGTTGATGTTTTGGCTCCCCGTTTTACCACAGAAGCAGAGAAAAAGACAATTTTGTTTGCTGGTTACAGATGGCCAGCCTAGAGTTCTCTTTGTACCTACCTAACTGACTGACCGACCGATTGACAGCCCATAGCATTGTTATGATTAACAGCCCATAGCATTAGCAGACATATTGGTTGATTTTTTGGCTCCTGGTTCTCCACACAAGGAGAAACAAATATGGATTTTTCAATGATTTCTTGTTCTTTTCCAACTTTGGAACTCTTGCGGGTGATTGACTAAATTGATGGTCAAGGCTGTCGTGGGAAGATGACCTGAATAATTTAATGGAACTGTAAATATTTTAGTCGTGAACCAGACTACGAAGGTCACAGGCACCATTGTATGCACATTGTGTTTGTTTAATTCAAAAATAAACATTTTCTGTACAACATGGGTTGAGAGGAATATTATTTTTCCAGGAGGTTGCCCTCACAGGCAGATGTTTTACTGCTACATGTACATGTACATGTACATGTATTGTTTTTTTTTTTTGGCCAAATACAAAAGAAGAATTTGATGACCTCCTAAATGTACGAATGCACTTTATTGTGTAAATTCATCAGTGAAAATCATCAAAGGTTCACGGTTTGAACAGTGTATACAATGTATGTTAAAGTCTTGTCTTGTCAAAAAATTTGTGTGGCGATATTGCTAAGAAAATACGTACATGTTTGGTACAAAATAATAAAACCAAAAACAATTTTAAAACGCTCCTACTGATCCTGTCCCACAGTTTTTGTACAGGGTACCAACTACCAGATCCCTTATGGATTAAACCGCATAATTGTGAGTGGGTGACCATGACTACTGCCACAGCTTGTGTAGCAGCCATTTTAAAGGGCGATGCCTTTGTTTGGCTGGAATGCATGAGTGAACCTTTTGTGCCTTCATTGTTACTGAGCTACATCCATCATTGACAGGCACTCACCAGCGCTGACCCACCACATCTATCATTGTCAGTCAAGGCATTGTACCCTCAGTTAACAAAACTACCACAGCCTGTCAATTGTATACTCCCTTGTGGAAGTCCTTAGGAGAAGAACCAACCAAGTATAAGTACCAATATGAGGCCAGTTGACAGATTTGTTGAAACCTGTCACCTGATAGATTTTGACGTAAAGGGTAATTCTCTCTCGATTGTCACTGAGAGAGGGAGGGTTAATAAAAAAAAGAAAGGAGTAACGCGATTTATCATCATGTTTTGGCTTATAAATAGAATGCCTCTTGCACAATAAGACAACCATTGTACACCACTACATGTACAATATACACATGTATAGTTTATAGTTTATGTACATGTACCGGTATATAACACGTTTAATGATCATGTACATGTACATGTTCATCGGTAGCTTTACTGCAACACAAACTTTATTAATTTCTGCCTGAAAATTCAGACAGGAAATTGGTCACAGCCGACTGAAGATTCCTCCATGCTGAGATTAACCTGCAAGCACCATGTACCGTTATGCAATCAATTTCTTGCCTTTCCTCTGAATGTAGAACCCCATTTGACAAGGTCTTTAGTTTAATAAGTAGGTCACTGCATCCAAGTATAGAATGCAAACTTTTGAACTCAGGATACAGACAAGTACTTTGCCGTTACTTGTATTTGTGGGCTACAAGCTTGCCTGGTCTGCCGTTGAAAAAATCAATTGAGCTAGTGGCCGATTTGGAATGTCAAATAGATTGTGCAGAAATGAGGGATTTTGTTTAGAACTTGGTGTGTTTGGAGGTTTAAATCTTAAAATGTTGTTGCTTTTCACAGTCCGTGCCCATGCACATGTCTGTGAAATTGTGCATTTATGAGTCCTGAGAAACTGGGCCATGGAGCATTTGATATCTAACATATGATAGTATCATGGGAACGCGTCTCATCTTGTACAGCATATCATCATCCTCCTACACTGTATCTCAAATATCAAGGACAAGTTTCAAGTTGCAGGATGCGAGTTTGATTTGTGACAAATATTAGCCGGTTTGTATTCCAACTGCGCATGTGTACCTCAAGATTTGATGATTTTCCTTTCGGGATGAACAATTCGTCCTATGCGTACAAAATCATAGCAGATACTATCAGAATTCAAGAAATTGTCTTGTTCTGAAGCAAGCACAGAAATTTCACAAAGTTTGGACAGTGACGTGATTTGAGGTGGTTTGGATACGCCAACTTTTTGGGCGAATGAAAGTTCTCATCGTCGTTCTGATTGTATGAAAAACTGCAGAATTTGCAGTTCCCAAGTACCCATCGCCTTGTGTGCATTTATCTGCCACATTTATACCGAAGTAAAATTCGTCAGATCTTGTGATGCATACAGGTATGCGCAGTTGAAATACTGATTGGACTTATATTTACATGCACCCTTGGCTGTGTTTACTAAATAAAACTCCAAATGAACTGTAGTTGAACTGTGATCAAATGTTAATCACATTCACGATACTGGCTTCGTGATTTACAAAATCACCAAAACTCACCACAAGAGGGCTCACATCCAAGTTGTAATCCCATTGTTCCTGCAGTCAAGGACCCCCTCACATCCACAGACTCCCTAAAGGTCACATTTCATTCTTTCATCAATTGATTGAATCACATTATTGCATCTGTATAACATGTAAATTCCTCCTCGATAATTTTTGGCTTTTTTTCTCTTCGCTGCAGGCGGCTATCACTTAGTGAAGATTGGTGACCTTTTCAATAACCGGTATCACGTCGTCCGTAAGCTAGGGTGGGGACACTTCTCCACCGTTTGGCTGGCGTGGGACCTCAAGTAAGTTAGTGTAGCTGTTTATAGTCCAAGTCAACAAATTACCATTTCTAACAGCTTTTACACACTGTTCATTTGCTCATTTCTTTTCTTCACAAGTTTAATAAATCCGCCACAAATTATCAGGCATGCAACTTTTCCTCGGATCAGCTGATATCCTTTCTTTCTTTTTTTAATTCTCATGTCTGCCATTAACAGTCCCGAATCCTCCAATTTGAATATTTTTTTCTTACCCTCTAGGGGGTTAGGGTTAAAGATTGAAAAACACTGTACAAAACCTTCTGAAGTCTTGGACATTTGGGGGTGGGGGGGGGGGGGGGAGGTGGCAGCTTTACAGTTGCATGCCTGATTTATGAAGGCACAGTTCTCAAAAAATGGTGATGAGATAACATGAAAGGAAGAGTGACTATCCTAAAGTTTCCTGTTTTTTTGGATATCAATTACCATGGTATGAGGAAATTAAATTTAATTCCAAACTCATGTTTGCTTTTCACCCTAACTGCATCAGTTATGTTGCCCTAACTTTTTCTTCCGTGTGAAAAAGAAACAACCTTTTTGTTTATATACTGTTTGAAACTCTTCAATTCAGCAGGCTAAATGAAAGCTAAATAAAGATGTCAGTATACCTGCATTGTACTGGTACTTGCAATATCGCAAGAAAGATTAGACTAACTGATAAGAAATGGATTTCCTTTCATAAGTTGGACGGCCTCAAGCACTCTGTAATTCTTATTCCATCACCAGTCTCCTTTCCTACTCACCGTTGTATCGATAAAAGTGAGGAAATATTTGTTTGTTAACAACTGAGTAGATACTGTCACATGAACCCAGACAGATTGGTTACAGTGAACAAAAAGGTGCAAGATATGAAAAGTGCAGCCACAGTTACAGGGCACCGTTCAACTGAATGAAGGCTTTTGCTACACTGACGCACTGGCTTGACTTAACAGAAAAAAAAGTGTTCTGTACTTCTGTGCTTCTGAAAGCAAATTGCTTAAAATAGGAGTACGTACCCTGAGGCAGTAACACGGTAACAGATCGTGTGGGTGGGAAAGTCTTAGAATTCTTTCTTGATGCTAACGTTTTGTTACCCTTACCCAAGCCCATGAAAGGCAGAATCAACGTCTTCTTTAGTAAATGTACACTGATATGCAATACTTTCATTATCGGAAAGTCTGGTAAATTCTGCTGAAAAGGTATTCAAACTGCATGCTTTTAAAAATGATATTGAGTATCATGGAAGTTGATTCTCATAAATACTGCTACACTTTTCACGTTTTAGACAATTTACCCTAGCTTATTGAACTAGTGTTAAAAAATATGTGTTTTTAAAATAGAATCCTAACGTTTTCATTGTCTTTACAGGGGCCGTAAATATGTTGCACTGAAGGTTGTTAAAAGTGCACAACACTACACAGAAACTGCAGTGGATGAAATCAAATTACTTAAAGCAGTAAGTGTGCATTGAGAATACCTCTGGAGGTGGTGTGTTCAAAGCCTATTAAAATATGCTTCTATTTTGCCTGTTAAATTTTTATTCTGTTATTTTCCTGCAAAATTCTGTGATAACAAGACGGATTTTACTGTGATGTAAAAAGATTTCAGTAGGATTGATCTCAAAGCAAACCTAATTTTTTTTCATCCAAAGCACCAAAAATGTCACATTTCTTCTATGAACATTTTGTAACTTACAAAAATGTTTTTGTTTTCCCAAAGCATGTGTTCATAACAGTCTGACTTTGTTTGATAGGTTCGAGAGAGTGACACCTCCGATGCCAACCGAGAGAGAGTTGTACAACTACTAGATGACTTCAAGGTTTCTGGCGTCAACGGAACCCGTATCCTTTTACCCGTTTCCCAGATTACGGGCCATCGTACAGAGCTGGCGAGCGCTGAAAATTCGGACCGATCTGACCGTGTACCGGGCCGCCGCATCCGAGTTCACTGGATGCAATATTTATGTTAACCAATCAGATTCACGAAGGAAGTTACATGGTTGTCATCATGTGACTGGTCATCATGTGACTAATCATCATGTGACCAATTAAAGGACGGAATCAGGCATGTATGCGGGTAACGTTTCAGTCTAACCGAAATGGTGAAAAGTCGATATTGGTGATGGGGTGATGGGGAAGGTGTAATCGAGAAGGTGTGCGCCTGGCTTTAGACTACATGTTTTTAGAGCAACAGCTATGTCTTTTGTCTGCATGTTCCCACATAGTTTTTATGGATGAAGACCTAGACATTTACTTTAGACAAGAGCTGCATTTATTGTTAGAATGTCCCCACGTAGTGTTAATGGATGTAAACCAAGATAATAGCTTGAGGTTCAGATGCTGCCAAAGTTTTTTTTTCTTTCTGGCACACTCTGTTTCTTGAGTCATGGGATAGGAATGAGTTTTTTATGCTCACAAGTTGCTCTCATCATCATCATCATCATGTCGGGATCGCCTGGGTTGTGACGACATCACGAGCCAGTCCCTGAGTCCTCTTCCTCCAGCTGTCTCGATCTACCATGCAGGTGTGCAGCTCCTCTGCAGATGTGAGATCAGTGTCCCTCTTGAGCTGGTCCACAAAGGTCAGACTTCTTCTCCCTCTTAAGGCAGTGCCCTGGGTGGGCTCCCACAGTATGGTTGGGTGGGCAGCAAGCTCCGGGTGGCGGACGCAGTGGCCAGCAAGATTAAGACGACGCTGTCTGATCTTGTGAGTCACTCTCTGCATGCCGTTGTAGAGGTCATCATTCCTCATACGATCCTGCCACGATACGTTGAGGGCTATACATAGCATGCGAGTGTAGCATCCATCCAGTGACTTCTCCTCCTTGGTTGTGAGGGTCCACGTCTCTGCACCATAGAGTAGGACGGACTCAATCGTGGAGATGAAGAGCGATCTTTTGAGCTTTGTACTGATGGCTGACGTCCATACCTTTTTCATGCTGTGAAGTGCTGACCACGCCAATCCTCGTCTGGTCTTGATGTCTTTTCCGCTTGAGTCGACATACGCTCCAAGATATGTGAAATCGGACACGATCTTCAGCAGCGTGCCGTCTCTGGTGTGGACGGTAGCGTCAGTCGTGTTGTATGCCAGCACTTTGGTCTTCCCAGTGTTGCTCTAGAAGTATGTGGTACAAGCACAATTTTGGATATGAAACTACATTTTTGTTCATGCCTTGAAATTTCATTTAATGTTCGAATTTTGGTTAATTAAGTTTTCATGTCTTTGTTGATTCACTTTGAACTGTATATAGTTGTGAAAATGCCTGGAAATGTCCTTTTTTTATATTTTGGAAGCATTTTGCTTCGGAAGACGTTTCCTTGACTCCTATTTTACCTTCAGATGTGTGCATGGTCTTTGAGGTGCTTGGTAATAACCTGCTAAAACCTATCATTAAGTCCAAGTACATGGGTCTGCAGCTACAGCAGGTCAAAAGCATCATAAGACAGGTAGGTCCGCATTAATATTAATGACATTTTCTGCAGGTTTTGTGGATTTTTGTAGCCGAGATACTTAAAACTTTACACCATTTCCCCTCCATGTATGGACCAGCCTTTAATGTGCACCTTCATCTGGACTTTATGAAGAAAAATTTTGCTGAGTGTCGTTTACAGGCCATATTTGAAAGGTCTGGGTCACAGACATACACATCTTACTTTTGCAATGAAATTATTGGAAAACCTGTGTGTTTACATCTGATGAGGCAGCTTTTTTGGCTTTCTCCTATTTGTATTTCCGGCAATTTATAATTAAGACTGGCACTGCAAACATGAACAGGTGACATTTCAGGTCCCATTGTTGGAAAAAAATCATTGTTGGAAAAATCACTCGGGTGGGACTCGAACCCACGACCTCCTGCTGTCTAGTGCAGATGTCTAACCTTTATCGTGTTGATAGAACTGTATTTTAGAGCCTCAAAGGGCATATTTTAGACGAACTTACCCCTTTAGTGGTGCGGCAGAATCAAGGATAACATCGAATAGAAGATGAACATTTAAAAAAAACCTGGAAATTCATTGACTTTACAAGTTTGTCTTTTCTCCATCTCTTGAAGGTCTTGGAAGGCTTGGACTACTTACACACCAAATGTCACATCATCCACACAGACATCAAACCAGAGAATATTCTCATGTGCGTCAACGATGAGTACATCAAGAAACTGGCCCACGAGGCCAAGGACTGGGTGCAGGGTAACGCCAAACCACCAGTATCGTCAGGTGAGTAGATATTCTTTCAGACACAGTATCATTACAGTGCTTGTCGATAACCTTCGAACTTGGGAGAAAAAAATTGATGATTTTGACAAGTTTTAGTGTCTAATCCAGGGTTCGCCCTTAACTCTTTTTTTTTTAACATCCAGCTGGAGTTGTGAAACAGACTTTTATCTAGGCCTCGGGCTTTTCATTAGTCCGCAATAGAATTTTGAAATTTTTGCACCAGATTATACAACAGTTTTATTTACAATAATTTTGACTCGCCAGGCAGGCTACTTAGGGAATGGCTTTGACTAGTCCGCCGCTGTTTTTACTTGCAATTGGCGAGCGGACTACTGCTAAGGTCGAACCCTGTAATCAATCAGGCACCTTGTAGAACATTGGTTTTGACATTATTTTCATGTACGTCCATTCTCGCATCTTTGCAACTTCCTCTCGGAAAAGTGCCATGTAGAACAGAAGGTCATTAAAGAAATGTCTCTTCAGTTGTTTGAACTCTTCATTTCAATGTATCCTGTCTTTTTCAGTGAGCACAGCTCCTATTGAGAAGAAACCAGAGAAACTGTCCAAAAACAAGAAGAGACGATTGAAGGCGAAGCAGAAGAAACAAATCGCCCTCCTGGAAAAACAAGAGCAACAGCTGATTGAACTGGAGAAAGAGAGACACTCAAGGGTATCAGGTACAGAGGGCTGTTCTATTTCCAGTGGGTATCTTTTTATCGAACAAACTGTTCTTGACAATAACACAAGGTTCAGACCTTCAGATATTTATGATTTTCTTGGTATTTTCTTTTCTAGAAGTCACAGCACATTAACCACATAGTAATAAACATGTACATGTATGCATTTTATGTACAGACATGGTCGAGATGCAGCTAAAAATGTGACGTCACAAATTTAGGTTTATATCGCTGTTACGTGTGATTATCTGGACAATGTCTAGCTCCTTGTAAAGTCTTTGGATATTCAAAATTGCTGAATTATTAAAAAGAAACACCAAGTACATGTACATAGTGTTACGGCATTCCGGACGAACTCTTTAATATTTGGCTTCCAGCAAAAGAAATGAGAATTAAAAAACCAGTTTCGAAATTTGGGTTGTGTTTTTAATTTCTTTTATGTGATTTGAGTATTTCTGAAGGGTTCATTTTCAATTTTCATCCCACCTGTCTAAAAAAATTAAATCTTGAAAATTGTTATATACAGTCACACCAGACAAGGACCAACCCAACTGTATGGAGACAGAGCGACAGCACGCTGGCAGCAGCGGCAGCAGCAACGGTAACCAGACACCACTCAGTGAGACAGCGACAACGCCAGGCAGTGAGTATCCCACCACCCCGAGCAGCGAGTATGCCACCACGCCAGGGAGCGAGGTCGCACCGGTGAACGGGATTGGCAGCGAGACGGCCATGCAGGGGGTGCAGGAGGAGGTGGAGTCTGAGGAGAGGAACGACAGACCGGATTCAGAGGGAACAGAATGCCAAACAGGTGAGTTTGGATCTCTTATGCCTTGCATCTCGCATGTTCTAAGCCATACCTGAAGATGAGTTTTCCAAAACCTGCGATGTGTTGAAATTTTTGTGTAGAGTTTTGCTAGAGAGGAACATACACATCACCCTGACACCTTTCCAAATTGTAATTCATATTCCTATTAATTTAACAAGATATCCAAGGGCATTTGCTCAAACTGGATTTAACATGTTGCCTATAGTTTCTGTGCTGGAATTTTCATGGTGTCTGAACTGGAACTCTATGGTTTCTTTATATGAATTTGCATGGTGCCATGGTTTCTGTATTGGAATTGCATGGTGCCCATGGTTTCTGTACTGGAATTTGCATGGTGCCATGGTTTCTGTACTGAAATTTACATCACGGTCTTAGGTTTCTCCAAAAGAAGTTACATTTTTTACCACTTCTATGTGCAATTTCAACTTTCTGTGTTTACAGGCGCCACTGTGTAATCAGTCTGCATTCATTACCATACTGTCTGCATTCTTTACCATATTTTCCATATCGTAGACGTCACAGAGCCAACGACAAACGGTAACGGGAACCCAAAAGAGACCAACATTCTGATCACCGACACCCAGGAACCAGAGGACGAAACATCAGAGACACCGAACAGCCCACAGCGATTAAAACCACAACCGCTGCCCATGGTGGACCCCATGACAGACCCCATGACAGAGTCCATGGGGGACGGCCCCTGGGTGGAGCCCCAGGGGACAGGGGAACTCTGCAACGGGTACGGAGGGGAGGGTGGGGATATGGAGGGGGAGGAGAAAGTGGAAAAGGAGGGAGGAGAGAAGAATGTGGGATTGCAGAACGGCGAGACTGAGCACAGCAAGATGAACGGGGATAGGGACGACCATCAAGGTAACTATAGACTCATCCGACTACCATAATCAGAAGCCATTAGTGAGGTGGCACCATGCTCACGCGCCGGTGGTGCACTCGCACTTGGTGCTCCTTTGACCAACAAGGTTTCCAAGTTGCACGTGTGCCTCAAATAAAGGCAATCGTGTTGTGTCGGGCCCCTGTTTTGTTTTGATGAAATGAGAGTCAAAAATGTTTTTTATTGCTCAAAAATGCTCACGGTACATCGTGCGGTGATCACCATCTTTATTTTCGGGTTGCGTGTTGTCGACGCACTGTCATCATCATTTTATTCCAAATTTCTCTCAACAAATCAAAACCCTGCCCTCTATCTATGACATACCTATTTATTGAGAATGTCGCCATCTAGTTTGGTCGGTCTAATAATTTTAAAGTGGATTTTGTTCCCTGATAGGAACCGGCCCTACACTACACAATCGCCGAAATAAAGGATAAGTTTGACATGCGCATGAGAGTGGTGCTGCCTCAGTAATCATAATGGCGATTGCCAGATTTGTTAGTATGTTGAGCAAATCCAACACGAGTCTTAATGACATTCTGTTCATTAGTAATTTTTCATATGCATCAGAAATCAAATATGTTTGAAAGCTCTTCATTTCAATATTTTACTCAGTTTGACATCCTGATGAATGTGGATATTTTGTGGGTGAGAATGAGGGGGATTTTGCATTACATAAACTGGGCCCAATAGAGTACCGAAGTCTGAGGTCAGCTGTCTTTGGTCTGGCTCACGCGCTGGTTTCATGTGCTGATGTCTTTACACTTACACTATAATAATAATAATAATAATAAACCATTCTTATAAAGCGCATTTTACACGGGGTCCCAATGCGCTGAACAATTAACAGAGGAAAAAAATACTAACATTATATTTCATTTGCAGTGAACAGATGGGTTTTAAGATTAGCTTTGAAAACGTCCAGGGTTGGGGCTTCCTTGATGTGATTGGGTAGTTTGTTCCAGAGGGTTGGGGCTGCAGATGAAAACGCTCGCTGACCGTATGACCTTGTCGATGTTGAGGAGCAGGCGAGCAGGGATTGTGAGCTTGATCGAAGATTTCTACGGGGTTCATATTTCTGGATTAATTGCTGGAGGTAAGTAGGGGCGAGACGATGGAGACATTGGTATGTTAGGAGAAGGGTTTTGTAGATTATCCTCCTCTTGACTGGGAGCCAGTGCAGATTACGGAGAATAGGTGATATGGGTTGATGGGGCTTCGAGAGGGTGACTAGTCTTGCAGCTGAGTTTTGGATGCGTTGGAGTTTGGCGATTTGTGAGTCTGGTAGCCCTTGAAGTAAACTGTTGCAAAAATCTAGGCGACTAGTAATAAATGCATGAGCAAGCTTTTCTGTTGTGTGCGGGTCGAGGAATTTGCGGATCTGTCCGATTTTATGAAGGGCAAATGATGCAGACCGACAGATGCTATTGATGTGCGTGTCCATTTGTAGATTAGGTTGCATTGTAACACCCAGGTTTCGTACCTTAGAAACGGGCTGGAGGGAAGAGTTGCCGATATGAACAGGGGGGAGTTGAGTATGGCTTCTATGGCAGGATGTTATATGAAGGACCTCCGTTTTGTCTGCATTTAATTTCAGTTTATTTGCTGTGGACCATGATTTGATGTCGTTAAGGCAGAGTTCTAACTGGGGAATGGCTGTAGGTCGATCCCGCTCTTTCAAAATGATGTAAACTTGAGTGTCGTCAGCATAGATCATTTGTCCGACACCGTGGGCCTCAATTATGTCCTCAAGGGGGGATGTGTACATTATGAAACACAAGGGTCCCAGCACAGATCCTTGAGGGACACCGACTTCAGGGACATAAGCGTCAGATAGGTCATCATTAATTGAAATGTACTGAGTACGGTGTTTGAAGTAAGATTCGAACCAGTTGATAGCATGGCCGGATATGCCATACCTGTGACAAAGACGATGAAGCATGATCTCGTGGTTGATGGTGTCAAAGGCTGCGGAGTAGTCCAGTAGAACAAGAACCGCCTCTTTGCCCTTGTCAGCAGCTAGTAACAAGTCGTTGTTCACTCGGAGAAGAGCCGTCTCCACACTATGACGACGCTTGTATGCAGACTGCATGTTGCTGTGAAGACTGTTCTCGAGAAGATAATCTTGGACCTGAGACGAAGCTGCGCGTTCAGTTATCTTAGCGAGAAATTTCAAATTGGCGATAGGTCTGTAGTTTTTTAGTGGTTCCGGATCCATGTTGGGTTTCTTGAGCAGGGGGGTGACGTGGGCAGATTTGAAAGCATCAGGAAAATGGCCGTTCTCAAGGGAGAGATTGATGATTGTTGTGATGATGGGAGTGAGTTCATTTAGACACTTCTTCAGTAACGATGTTGGAATTGGATCAAGCCTGCATGTTGTTGAAGGTGACCCGGTGATCAACTTTCTGACAGAACTATCAGAAAGGATGTCAAATCCAGTGAAAGATGTCTCGCACGAGTCGGCCACTGGTACTGTTGTCTCAACTGTTGAAGCGTTATCAAGTTCGGCAATGATGGTCTGGGTCTTATTGGAAAAGAATTGTGAGAAACGATCCACTAGTGACTCTGGTTCATTCTCTGGCGGAAGGGTTCTTGAAGATTTCGGGGTGCATAATTTGTCGACTTTGCGAAACAGTTGTTGAGAATCGCAGTCGGCAAGTTGTGTCCTGTGATATTCGGTTTTGGCTTGAGTTATCATACGATTGTACCGGTAGATCTGTTCATTCAGAAGTTGTTTGTGAACTGCCAGTTTAGAGGATTTCCACTTGCGTTCACGTTTACGTAGTTCTTGTTTTGCTTTGTGGATGTGTTCATTGTACCACGGGGCGTGTGGGCGACATGATATGTTACGAGAGATGAGGGGGGCGTGTTGATTTAGGAGATCTTTCAAAGTACTCTCGTACTGATGAACCAACTGGTTCAAATCAGAGGCTGGGGCAGTATACAGTGGTGAAGCCAGGATATCCTTGCGGAAGGCATCTATGTCAATCTTACGAATTTCTCGAAGTTTGATGTCTCTTTTGACCGGATCGGGCCGACTGACGTTCAGTAAACATTTGACAGCGGCATGATCGGAGGGCAGGTAATTAGTGGTGACAACACGTGAAACTGTGTCATCTGCTGAACGTGACAAGATGAGGTCCAGTGTGTGGCCCTCGCGGTGAGTGGGGCCAGTCACATGCTGCTCGAGATTAGCAGAGTCAATGAGATCACAGAAGATTGCCGCTTCACGATTAGATGGATCATCGACGTGGAAGTTAAAGTCACCAGCAACCACGATGTGTCCTGGCTCAGACACAACAGATTCCAGGAGTGTGGAGAATTCACGAAAAAATATAGGGGAAGTCATGCGTCCATCGATTAGTCTCTGAGGTCTATAGATTACGATGAGCCGAAGGGGGGTCTGGGATCGAGCGTTAATTGATAAATCAATATGTTCAAATGAATCAAATGTTCTACCTTCGTTCATATGGGCATTGAAGCTGCTTCGAAGATACACACAGACGCCACCACCATTTCTGTTTTTCCAAGGTATGTGGTGAATTTGGTAGTCAGGAAGTGTTGCCATAAGATCTGCAATAGCACGATGATCCCGATGATCACCAGTCAGCCATGTTTCAGTTATGGCGATAATATCGATGTGGTTGGATATAATTAAATCACATAAGATAGGGATCTTGGGTTTCATCGATCGAGCATTCCACAGACCGAATGTAGTGGGAACAAGTTGTTTTGTGGGTGGTAAGCATGGTGAAATGTTGGTGAGGTTGGTGGGATTTGCACCTTTTTGTCCCGCTTGAAAATCAGGGTGAATCTCGTAGGGTATGTCTTGGTGGCTCAGTACAGGGATGGGTTTCTGTTGTTTAGCCCATGATCTGCGGCCCCTTTTGGTTGGTCTTGGCACACCGATTCCAAGCTCTTTTAGTCTGGTGTGAACGTGAAGGGGCACAGTGGTTTTACCTGTAGGTTTGAGCGACAGCAACTCATCATGGCTGTAGGAGTTTGTTGTAGTGGCAACCATGACTACTGCTGACAATAGGATGAGCACAATGGCCAACAATGCCGATCCAGCCATGCGTCAATCAATTTCTGAAGCACAATGACGAGCCAAAAACACACTGCTGAATGCTATAGGCGTACGTAGTCCTTGTACAGTACTTGTACTCGGAGTAATGAGCAGAATCTGTTCAAAATTCCAGGTTTTTGGCGATCTGGTAACTTGGATTTCCGATCCAGGAGCTAGGAGGATCCTTACGTCTGTGTGATCCGACTGTGTGGTTTTTGGAGTTGATGTCGGTGATCAAAAGGCAAAAACCGAGACAATTTTGCCAGGAAAATGAGCATGTAGGTGCAACCGGAAGCGCTACCATGGATTTGTTATGCACGTGAACCAGAATACACGGCACACTTTGGTGCTCTATTTCATGGAGACCCATGTACTTAGACATGGAGCTGATTTCCTCTTTTTTTTTTATTCCCCGTGTGTGCCAATACATTTTTTTTTTTAAAACACTGTACAAAGTCTTGAAAAGAGTTGAATTTCCTCTTGTTTTGTGACTTCCCAGTTGCATGCCTGGGAGCTGCAATAATGCTCAGCAAATTTATACGCTAAGCAGAAATCATCTGGTTACCAGTCACTAGTAATCAACATCACATAGCATTTTGGCTGGTAACCTGTTTTTGCTAAGCCAAAAATGTTCTATGCTTAGCAAATTTCTGTTCTCAGAATTTCCTTTGGCCCCCGTACCATACAGTGGTACATTTTAACCTTGCTGCAGCCATGTATTATTTAAAGATACATCTTTTCTTCCTTTTCTTTAAAGATGATCTCGTCAAAGACAGAAGTCCTGCAGATTCGACGCTGGAGGAGAACAGACTCCAAGATGACACCTCACCGAGCAAAGAGGTCGAACTGAGGAGCGTTGATGAGGAGACGAGACAAGACACGACCGAGGCGGAGGAGAGACAGGAGGAGGAAGCAGGGAGGGGAGGCGGAGACGAGCGAAAAGAGAAGAGGGAGTTGGAGAAGGATACCGAGGAGCAAGATGCAATACTAGATGCAGAGACTGCCAGTAAGGAGGATGCAATCAAGATGGAGAATCAGAACGATGGTAGGTTATGTCTGCTACAGATATATTAATAAGCCATATTTTTGAGGATATGTGACACCACCATTATTCCAAGAGTATTGATGCAAGTTTTTAGAATTTTGGTAGAACTAAATTTGTTGTGCTGTTTTAATAATTAAGAGACTCTGTCGTTTTTACTGAGTCAATGATGTTGTCACTGTTCTTTCAATCACTGAAATGTATGTGTTACCTCCCCCAATTCTTCATTACAATAGCCAAGTCAGTCCCATTTTTATGTTTAATAATAATTACCTTCTTAACAATATTTTTCGGCAACCGTATTATTTTAAACTTTTCAATATTGTGTGGTTTCCCCCCCCCCCCATGTCCATCACCCTTTCCTCTATTTAATTTCCTGATTCTCCTTTTAAAGTTATTGTACCATGAGTGATATGTACATGTATTGTAATTGTTTCGGATTTTAACTGTTGCGTGTTTAATTCTAAGTCGTCTTGTTAGATGTTTTGTGAAAAAATCTGAAATTTAGCCTGTGATGCATATTTTTGAAATAAACCATTATCAATTCAGTTCAATTTAAAACATGGTTATAAAATGTGACTTATACCTGCTAGTGCTGAAGTGACCGCTAATTAAACAGATGAATTAATTAGTATAATTGTTTCAATGACTTGCTAACAGGTGCTGAGAGTCAGTCAGCCAATGACGACAACGAACTGAAAGTCAAGCTTGCCGATTTGGGAAACGCCTGCTGGACGGTAAGCCAATTTTGAATGAGTTTGGAAGTGAAAAAAAATTGGATTGAATAGAGACAGCGATACATGGAGTGCCTTCTGTAGATGTGGCTGTTGTGCTAGGATCTCACTAGGCATTCCTAAGAGTGGCACTGTCTACAGAAAAACAGTGAAAATCTGGCGACATTACAAATTTTGGTCTCTGTAATTGGCACAAGTAGTCCACTTTTTCCTTGCAATAATCAACGACAGTGAACATATATTGCAATATCAAACTTTCAACAAGACGTTCGAGGATTCAGGATCTGATTTTTCTTTTCTTCCACACAGCATCATCACTTCACGGAAGACATTCAAACGAGGCAATACCGGGCCCTTGAGGTCATCATAGGGGCAGGGTACGACACCCCTAGTGATATCTGGAGTACAGCTTGCATGGTAAGTCAGAGAACCGTAAACAGACAGAGGTGCGACAGCTATCAATTTGGACGCCATTATAAATCCAACTCAGCTCGCGTAGTCACCTCACAAAAACTCAACCCGGGGCAGCACTGGGTTTGCCCAGGGTTGAGTTCAACCTGGGATAAGAGGCTCTGGTGTGAAAAGGGTGGTTGTCAGTCATCCATGACAGCAGGGACGCAAGTAAGATAATGGAAAACTTATAAAACACGATAAACCACCCTGTTAGTTTTCACGTTGACAAGTTTAACAAACCCAGCCTTTTTTTACTTACTGTTTATTGCTACATCCTGTTTTTCCACTGTTTTCTTTCCAGGCATTTGAGTTGGCCTGTGGTGACTACTTGTTTGAGCCGCACTCGGGTGAAAACTATAGCAGGGATGAAGGTGAGTGGGTCTCATGAAACCACATGATGTTAGCTTGCTGCTCTTGACCTATCAGAGTTTGGACTAGTATTTTTTGGTCTTTTTTAGTTTTCTTGTGTAAATAAAGATTTTTAAACAAAAGGTTTCTGCATTTAGCATATTGGTGGTTTTTTTAAAGAATTGTTTTAAAAGTGGAACTAACAATTTGACTGGAGCAGAGTTTAAACCTGCCACCTCTAGATTGCTGTTCCGGTGCTCTACCAACTGAGCTATCCTGCCCTATGTTGGGGGTTGCCCATTTTGTCAATGTCCTTGTTCAAGGGATGCTAGTCAGACGCCATAAACCCGTTTATGCCATGAAGCCAGGGATCACACCCAAAGTCACGATGCTAGCAATGCTGCAAACCTAGGAAATAATTTTTAAGTTCAATTATTTTTGTTAAAGAGGTTGTGGAATGCTCAAAGACATTTCCGTCATTTTTCGGGTATATGTAGCCTAAGGTGTGATGAAATAAAAACGACTATTGTTTCTGTCATGAAATGAGTACAAAAGGTACTTTTGAGAGCTGTTTTTCAGGTCCAGTTTCGACCCGAACGTGCAACTGTGTAAAAGTCGTCGTTGCGGGCAGCAAACAAAACACAGTAAATCGTGACGTAATAAACAGGACTCGTGTATATCGGGAGTCCTGTTTATTACGTCACGATTTACTGTGTTTTGTTTGCTGCCCGCAACGACGACTTTTACACAGTTGCACGTTCGGGTCGAAACTGGACCTGAAAAACAGCTCTCAAAAGTACCTTTTGTACTCATTTCATGACAGAAACAATAGTCGTTTTTATTTCATCACACCTTAAGCTACATACATGTATACCCGAAAAATGACGGAAATGTCTTCGAGCATTCCACAACCTCTTTAAAGCCATCTTCGATAACCTTGTCTTTGTTTTGGTCGGCAGATCACATTGCCCACATTTCAGAGCTGTTGGGTACGATACCCAAACACATTGCCCTCGGAGGAAAGTTTTCCAGAGAATTTTTCAACAGGAAAGGTAAGAACAATAGGAAGCTTGCCTAGTTGAGCCTAACATTGGATCAAAGATGTGATAATTTGCTCTTGGTTTCCCAAAATTGTTTTGTACTTTGTGTATGGCCAGAGAAATGAGACTTAAATCATTTGTCACAAATAAGTCCCAGCCACTCATCAGAATTTAAACGTGATTGTACCTTCATATTCATGTAAGCATAAAATTGAAGCAAATGTTATGGTAGTTCACATGCTTGTATTGAGCATTACTGTGGGAGCAGTGGTGCATGGAAAAACTCATCTTGGTCATTAAAAAAAAAAGTAAGATACATTTGCAGGGTACTTCCATTCTTCCAAACCAACAAGCACATCCCCCCCCCCAAGTGCACCCTTCCTGTCTTTGGACAGTGCTCATTGACCAATTAGATTACAAGTTTTGGTCAGGTGACCACAGTATCCCAGTCAAACTCGGTCACATGCACTGTGAGAAAGTGGGCGGGGCTTATGACAAAGTCCGGAACAACCCATTCTTAACCAATGATCTCACGTCTTCAGGTGAGCTGCGTCACATCACCAAACTCAAGCCCTGGGGCCTCTTCTACGTCCTGACAGAGAAGTACGACTGGGTGGAGCGTGCGGCCATCGAGTTCGCCTCCTTCCTAGAACCCATGTTGGAGTTTGATCCTACCAAGCGAGCCACGGCAGCCATGTGCCTCAAACACCCGTGGCTCTACTCATGACGATAAGTGCAACTGCACGTAGGAATAAAGCTAAAAAAAACTCTCTGTTGATTTGTACAGTACACACAAAAATAGGATTTGTTCTTCCGTAACCGTCACGTGTTTAAACTGACGTTGTATGGCGTCGTATATGACAAATAAGTACTATAGGGCAAGAAGATGGGCAGTTTGTGGCACTCTGTCGGAATTTGACCAAGGTTTGTGTATTTTTTCCCATTTTCATATTTGTTATTTTTGTTTCTTTCTAAGGTTTTTTTTAGGCTCTTGTTAGACATCTGAACCAGGGTACAGGTATTACCGATTTGTAACTTGAAACGGACTTTGTTTTTTGTTTCCATACAAAAGTATGATACGGATGATGTATTTAATAGTTAACGGCAACAAAAGTTGCAGTTGAGCATTCAGGTAATTAGTGCTGCTCCCTGGAAATAATTTCTCGACCGATTTGTATTTTGGCCAGCCGTATGAAAAAGAGGTTACAAGGAAATGTGTGGCCTAGTGGTTAGGGTTTGTGACTCGTGATCAGAGGGTCAGCGGTTTGAATCCAAAAGCTGGTCATATGTTGTGTCCTTGGGCAAGCCACTTCACCCCACTTGCCTCTCTCCACCCAGAAGTATAAATTGGTACCGGCATTAGCTGGGGAGTAACCTGCGATGGACTGGCATCCCATCCAGGGGAAAAGAAATATTCTCAGTCGTTTCATGCCACTGAAACAGGAGATAAACGCTGGGCCACATTGGCTTGTAACAGACTTGACTTTACTTACATATCATGCAATACATACATGTTGGCGGAAGATGAGTTTTGTTGAATCTTCACAATTTGGAGCTCTTACAGGTTTATCTAGCTTTTTAATACTTTACTATGACTCGGGAGTGGGGGGGGGGGGGGGAGAGGAGGCATTTCTGTCCATACATTTCATCTATTGACAGACCTGTTACAGTGTAGTAGTCAAGTCTATCACAAATCCATCACAAATCCATCACAAATCCATCACAAATCCATCACAAATCCATCACAAATCCATCACAAATCCATCACAAATCCATCACAGGTCCTTCAGTCTCAAGTCAAGTCTCTAGCTAGTCAAATAAACTGTGACAAGGACATCCTTGTCATAGTTCATCCGGGTTCTTGTGACTGGACTTGTGAAAGGACTTGTGATGGACCCGACTACAACACCGTTTCAAGAAAAGATGATACACTGTTAAGGAAATAATTTAAGAATCTTTCAAAATATTGCACTTCATGATTTTGGATTGGAAATGCAGCACAGCTTCTTGAGATTGCCGTTGACTTCTGTTGGTACTCAAAATTATCCTTTTTGCTTTTAACAAGAAAGCAGCCTCACCCTGAAATGTGGGCAAGACACAAGCGTTTGGCCTGTTACGCTATCATTTATGCACACACTATCTGGAGGACGAGCTGACTTTTTTGGCTGTTTGATCCACATTTGTTTTCTTCATAGAAAAATTAAGAAATCTGGCAAATTTAGGTGATAATTTATTCGAATGGCAACGGATTTATAACTGTATTCAACATTGTTTTTTGTAAAAATGTGTTGCATTTTAGTTCGCACTAGCACTCACGTACAACCAAGATGTTTGAAATTTAGTGGTTTCCCTTTGAAATGTACGACCCAGTTTTCCATGCTTGTAATTCGCCATCCTTTTATTGTCAATCTTCAAAGCAATAACTACGAGTATAGCCATACAAAAAGACTGTGAACTTCATTAGACACATTAGACACAAGGTTAAAAAAAACATGCAATGGCATCCAAAATATGCACACCTTTAGTGTATTGTAAATAGGTATATTTATTCACGGCCAGTTTAGCGAGAGCCGTGTTGTAAATTTTTCAACAATATTCCACATTGGTTGGTGTTGTACATCAATTATAAGTGTATATGTACATTTTCTCTCCTTTTTTTTGATATTGGTAGCGTTTTGTAGTTAGTTGTATGTTGAAATGTGTGGTACACAATATGGGGTAAGAATTATTTGAATTGAGGGAGTTAAAGTCATACACGTGTAAATTATTCCGAAGAATTTTACATGTTTCATGTCATTTTGGTGAAAAAAACTAAAGCACTGTTTTTAAGAGTATCATTAGAATTGACAAACCCAACGAAATTAATCTACTTTTTTATAATTGGTTATTTTTCATATTTTGTTAGCATATGACAAATGAGAACTGAAGTGTCTGTGGTATGCTAACGTTCCTTTTTTTAGCAGAGGTGAAAAATTAGGAAATCCAACCACCCCATCTGGTGTTGACTGTCAAGTTGCTAAATTTACATAAGTATATCACCACTTTTCGTTGAACAATGATTGCTGCTGCAGTTTAACGCATACACAGACTTGTCACGTGCCAATCTGCATGCAATGGACTCCAGGCATGAACACTAGAGGGCGCTGTGTGACCACTCACAATACATCCATGTGAAGGGCACACTGTATGTGTGCTGTGAGTCATACATGGACTACTCTACATGTAAACATGACCAAATTTAATCTGAATGTACACAGACCCATAGCATTTCTGTGGAGCGCAAGTCAAGCAATGCCGGGGGGGGGGGGGGGGGGGGGGGGCCACACACACACATAATGGTCAGTGCTTTGAATGTACTTTCTGCACACATGCTGACATGGTTGAAACTATCAACACCGTCGCCCGGCATTTTGAAATTTTGGGGAACATTTTTTGGTAATGATAACCCCCCCCCCCCCCCCCCCCGAAAAATGTCTCGCTACGCTACTTCTTTCACATGAAACCAACAGGATTTAACATTCAACAACATTATGTGCATTCGTTTCCGCCTGAGGATTTCCACAGATCAAATTGTGTAATCAAATTGTGTAATCACAGCATGTACAGTCTTGCCATGGACAGCGTGCAGTTACTACTTGACGTGTAAGTGCAAATACAAATGAACAAGTTTGGTCATTTTCTATTTTTAAAAAGATTTTTAGCGAGAGTCAACCTCCAACAGCAGGCCCTATTTAACGGCCACTCAAAACGAGAGCTACACAAAGAAGAGATAGACAAAGGAAACCAAGAAGAGGAAAAAATTAGTTCAAGAAGAAAGTTGAGTATTGATGTCACGTCAATTTACTAGTCACTATCAGGGTCCCTTGCTGACCACAAATACACGTATAACCTAAACATGACATCATTTTGTATTTGCTGGGCTTGCAAAATAATCTTGCTTAACGTACGTAAGCGCAGAATTACTGCTTAAGCAAAATTAGCATGTGCTTATAATAAATTCCTTGCAAGATATGACAATAATGTGTTCAAATGATGTGTGTCAAAATCCAGTGTGTAATACTCGTAATATTTATGTAACATCATTTTAATCAATCAATGTAAAGATTTTCATCATTTGATCAACATGAAATATTGTCAGATAGAATACTGAATCTTCCATTAGCATCGGTTCATGAATAATGAATAATTCATTAGCAGAAATATGTACATTTGATTATGCATTGTGATTGGCCAATATGCAGTAGATATCATGCAGTTGGAAGCAACTTTTTGAATAACACATTTACATGAAAATTCATGAATTATTCATAGGGAGTTTAACTGTTGGACTTTGGAGAAGCACCAATCCAGTTCTAGATTTTTGTAAAGTTGGAAACAGTTTTTAATTATTCAGATATGGATATGAATTATTCATGCTAGTTTCCTTTGGTCACAGGATAAGACAATTTGCAGATGTCGTAAGTGCATATTCTAGTAATTCCACATTAATTTTTCATTAGTAAATTACATGAATATGTATGCATAAACATGTGAACAAGAACATGACATATGGGGACTTCATGAATTATTCATGATTAACATTTTGTTTCAGATTGTCCATAACCTTCCAGAAATGTGATATCTATTCTCGTCTGTATACTGTATTGACTCCCAAATTCCTAACATGACCAAAACCAAACATTTCGTTGAACGATTCTGTATAAATCCCTGGAGGAAGTAATATAAATGTATATGGTGCACAAATCTTAGCTCTGTGGGTTTATTGGAAGATGGCAGAGGTAAAAGATGTTTGTATTCAGAAGGAACAAAAGTGGAATTCAAATCCAATATTACGGAACTCTTAAGCATAGAAGGTTTTTCAGAACACAAATATAGGACACCAGGGGAAACATGTTGTGAATAATGCTTTTGGTGGGCTCTCAGCAAATTTAGCTTTTAAAAAAAAATGATCGGGAACGTTTTGTGCTGAGGAGTTCTGCGATGTTGGTCATTTAGTCAGCTGTGTAGAGCAAAGTCTCTGTAAATTTGATATGCAAAATAAAACGAAAAACACTGTAGTGGTGAGCACTACTTGATTTTATATGCAGGAAAGAAGTGATGGAAATTAGCCGTACCGTAACAGTACTTTTAATAAAATTGTAATATTACAAAAAAAACCATGAGTTAACGATATGCAGTGGTCATCTTTGGGTTTGTGTAAAGGAGACTGTGGCATTTTAAACGAGAATCAGAATTGAAACAGGCTGGTACCAAGCTATATCATAGTGGTTTTCACTGTGTATACCTTGGGAGACAAGACCAATATGGCCGCAAGAATGACAGTAAAATAGGCTGGTACCAATAACTTAGAAATTGCTTCATCGTTGTTTGCACCATGTATACCTTGGGAGACAAGACCAATATGGCCGCAAAGTTGAAGGTAAAATAGGCTGGCACCAATACCTCGGATTCGCTTTATAGTGGTTTGCACCATGTATACCTTGTAGGACGAGACCAAGATTGCCTTAAAATCAAAGGCAAAATAGTCTGGTACCAATAACCTTGAGTTTGCCTCATTGTGGTATTCTTTACCTTTGACTCTGGGTAAACAACCAGTTAATGGCTGCTGCTTGTTTTTGAAAGTTATTAAATAGTGTACTTTCGTATGTGGAAAATACGGTCGATCTTGGTTAATAACAACATCTGAAATGTGATGACACTTACGAAAACTCAAATGCAAATGAATAAAATTACATCATCTGGGTGAAGATTAGTGTTTTGCCATTTTTATTTCTGTCCAAGTTGTCACTGTACACATTTAAACCACAATACACGTAATTTACACCGAAAATCTTAAGTGAAAAAAAGAAAAATCATGCAAACGACATGACTTTTAAAACTCATCTCGCTAATATTTATATTCGTATTTACAAAATTAACCACTATGTCTGTCAACTGCTTTTGTGGATTTGGTGAACTATACAACATGCATTTTTTCTGCCCTCTAAAAACCTAGTAAGTAAAAAAAATCTGATTGGGATCTTCACATATTTAAATATATTTAATAACTGATGAGACAATTCTAAAATTAGTGACGTATTAAAGGTGGTACATTCCATCTGGAAGGGTCATGCACAGCTGCCAACTGTTACTAATTTTTCGTAATTATTACGAATTGTTTGTTAAATTACGAAAATACGATTTGCCACTAAAACATTACGAATTCCCCATTTTCTACCTAATGAAAAAAAAATACTTGTAAAGTATCGTTTTTGACCGAAAACTTCTGGCGAAATGTCGCGATAATGGATGGACTGGTGACAAGTCTAATAAGAATGCAGTCAAGCACCCGATAGACATCAATGCAGTGTGCGCAGTGGAGTACTTGAGGACCAGACTAAAACTATTTTTCAATGGTGTGTCATTTGTGTGCATCTCGTGGATGTGTGGTTGTGTGTACTGTATGTGAGTACTTTTCAGTGACGATCGTGAGCACATTTGGTCGCTTTTTGCCGGGTTGAGACCCATCAGTGCGACAATTTAATCATGGAATTTAATAAGAGTACCCGTAGAATAGATTGAGGTACATGAGAACATGTAGCTGTTTACCAAATTGGTTCATAAACTGGGATGATAAAGTGGTCTCCTGATAAAATGAACAAGATTTTTCTGGATAAACTTGTCACAGAGAATATGGTTGAATGCATGACAATTTGAAACCGAGGAGCAATTGGAATAATTGGTATTACAGTTTGAGTTTGTCACAACGTCCAGAAAAGATAAATCAGCATGCGTTTGCAAGGTATGTTGGCGGGATATTTCTATTGCATACGGTCATGACGGTGGCCCTAAATCATTGTGTGTAAAAACATTGATACGAACTCGAAACTCCACATTGATAGCATGCATCTCCAAAAAAATATGCGCATATTTTATTATTGTTATTATTTATTTGACTCCAACAAACAAATACAGACATTAAAAAAAATTAATTAAAAAAAAAAAAAAAAAAAAAAAATATTAATTTTTTTTTTTTTAAATTATCTTTTGGCCTACATTACATTATTCACAAGAAGAAGGGTATGCACATGTATGTGTACATGTAAACCATGTACCTGTACTCGATGTTGGTAAAGCTTTTGATAAAACGAGCAGTTGAAAATGACCGCGCGGGTTGATTACTAATTGGGATTTTGAAATGTTGGCAGCTATGGTCATGCAAAAGAATGACTTTAATAGAATCTGTAACTTCCAATATAACTTCACTTTCTGTCTCTGTTTGGTTGTATTATAAAGCGAAAAATATCCTCAATAATTCGGGGTTTGACTGCTCGATTCTCTTTTTCAGGCTTCTTTGTTGATTTGGTATACACGCCAGATTGTCATTGACAAAACATTGCGCCGCTCGTGGTTTGATCATGTGATAATCTTATAGCCAATCAAAATTGGTAACAAAAAGAGCTAATTTTCAATCATAAAATTACTCAGTTGATAAAGCATGAGAACAGTTTAGTCTACCTGTTTTCCCAACCACTCACTTCTCTCAAAACTGTCTTAAGAACGCCACAAAGGTAAGACATTTCCTCTGCAATGAGTGTTTTATGAATCAGAGTCGATGTCTGACAATATGGAAGAAGATTCGCAGGTTCTTAGTTTATATTCTCATATGTTAACTGATGACAGGATACCAGCAATACTGTCCGTCCGAAAAGCATCCAGAAAAAACACACAAAGAAGTATTGCTTGGGAAAGTTCTTCAAAATCAATATCGGAATTTTCAGGATAGGGCATTCTTGGTAAATCCATTGGAGGTATGCTGAAACCGGCATTGTCTTGAAGATTAGTTTTTTTTCTCAGTTACATCTTTCTTGGAAGTGGCGAGACGTCCTCTTCGGGTGGTGCCGATGGGGGACCCCTCCTCGACGGTGTCGGGGGTGGGTAGGCAACTCCGGGGTACCGTCTCGCCGAAGCAGCCTGCTTGTCCAGCAATGGCGGGGCATGATCAGAGGAGGACGCCGTGTCTGAGAACCTTGGCGAAGAGGGTGGTGGTGGGGGTGGGTATCTAGGGGACGGAGGAGGGGGTGGGTAGGCAGAGGGGGAAGGATACTCCTCTGTTGTCGATGAGGGGTGGGAAGATGCTTGCGTGTCAAGTAACGGTGGTGGTGCTTGCCTCTGGTATTTAATAGATTCCGTGTACGGAGGTGGGGGTGCCGAAAACGCCGGCGGTGCGTCCTCGGCGGACGGGTAAGCAGACCCCTGGTGCACCATCCGAGGGACTGGGTGCGGGTAGGGCTGGGGAGGGTAGTTCGCATTTGGCGGGTAGCCTGGTGGGTAGGATGGGTAGGGAAGATACTGCTGGGGTGGGTATTGATATTGGGGTGGGTATGGTTGCGTTGGAGGGTAGGGTTGGGGTGGATAGGGTGGTTGGGTCGGGGCTGGCCGGTTGTGACGAGGCGGTGGAGTAGGAAGTTGTTGGCTTGATGTTGATGACGGTGCTGGCGAGGCTGTAAATGCGCATAAAACAAAACAAAATGAAATTTGAGGATACTAATTTCAAAACTCAACTCAACAATTATTTTAACGTGCATCCACGTCCTTAGCAACCTCCATGGAACAGTGATGTTTCTTACTCGTGTGCAAAAGCCCCACTACAAAAAAATGTTATATCTCTGTAAGACTGGTGTTCCAGACCCGTTCCAGACTCTAACAGAATAATGCCGAATATTTGAACCATTAAAAGGGAGATGTTTGAAAAGGAACCGACTGTGTCATGGCAATGGAAAATGTTAACACAAAGTTGAAAGTTCGCCTGTCTGAAACTAGACTCGCCTCGTGCCATCCCGACTGCTGAGATGATATACTTGTACTTTCAACTTGAAAGACAACTTACCACGTAACCCACCTTCAGCATTTGGGGCCCTCCGTTTCCTCCTCCCTCGCAGCAGGGTGGCCCGCAGTCCCTCCGCCGACATCATGTACCGAGCTGACCTCCTCCGGTCATGATGGTGATGGTGGTGGGGGTGGTGACGGTCGGTGTACAGGCGATTGCCGGTACAGAGGCAGCAGGAACAGCAGCAGCAACCGATGATGACGCACAGTGATACGATGACGAAGACGCCGATCAGTATGCCGATTAAGTTGCCGATACTGTGGAGCAAAGTAGTGAGAAAAGACATTTTATTACCGTTCGTGTTTTCAATTTCTAATTCTGTTGGGATAATCATGTAAAAATGTTGAGCAATGCCCTAAAAGAACTCGACCCTTCAAACCCAAGCGGCATGTTTTGATGGGATCTGTCAGGATGGATACAGTACCCCTAAACCTTTCATTGGGTTGGCACCAAGTCAGAAATATGTGTGTGCAGTTTCCCATATGGTGTAGGAATTTGTCTGGATGGGTATGGTTCCTAGTAAATCATGATAGGGTAAACGCAACATGTTCCAGTTAGCTTACTAATAAAGTAACTAGTTAACATTTTCTTAACTTTTTCAAACGTTAGTTTACTATTTTTCAATTAGTTAACTAATTAGTTGATGTTTCACATTGTGGAGTAATTGCGGATGACACCAAGCCGCTGTGCAGAATTATCAAAATGGTAAGACTTTATCAGTACAGGCGTTGTGTGGCTATCAATCGTTTCCCCTCCCTTCCCCGGGTTGCCACACCCAAGATGTGGGGATTGTCACTTCTGAAGTGACCAAACCCCTACCCCGGGGCAACATTTTAATGACAATCTCCACTTATTAGCATTGGTGGGGCGCCCTAAACTGGTGGCATGTCCATGCAGATTTTCGGAGGAACCCAGACGACATTTTGTCACGGCGATGGAGGAAATCCAATTATGACAACCAAATGGGTGGAAAATGCTTAATTGATTAATCAGTTAAAATCGTTGGCACTTATAAAAGATGGTTCTCAAAATAGTTGATCTAGTCAGACTTCAACTTGACCTTTTTTTATCACTACATTATTTGTCATTTTAGTGTACTACAGTATTTGTCATTTTAGTGTTAATAATCTGTACAATGATGCAGGGTCACTTCCTAAGAGGGCGTATAGCTTTGATGATTATTGAGCCCTTATATACCTTCCCGTTTAGGCAAAGCATCTTTAGCAAGTGGCGTAACTATAACTTTTTTTTGGGGGGGGGGGGGTGGAGCACGGGACAAACCTTTTTGTATCCTAAGCAAAATCAGAGAAGGAAAAACAACTTTGTATACATTGTGACGATAACGAATGATCAATTGAGCGCCCCTCCAAGATAAAATACTTCAGTAAAAAGGTATATAGGCCTATAATTATCAATGTACGTTACATTCGACCCCATGACGTTTGGATACAGACCTCGAACGACCGTTGTGGTCTCTTTAATAATTGAGGAATTTTGGGGAAGTTCCGCAGGTTGAGTCATGTTCCTGTTGCTCGTATTTATGAGTTCAAATTTAGAAAAAATACTTGCAACCAACAAGAGGCATACTGCATGCTTCTCGGTATGTATTAAAAAATCTTAACAATCAAAAGGTGCATAACACAACTACAAAGTTTAAAATCTAACACGAGTAACGAAGTTATGAAAACGTCTTTATTTTTTACGAATAGGAAGTAAATGTCATGATCATTGTAACAAGAATTATAATTTCCAGGACATACAAGGGGCGGGTGCAATCAGTTGTTCAAAAGAAAATAAATATCTTAGTACCAAAAAAGACAACTCTACGTTAAAAGTGTGTTTCTTTTTATACTTGGCCTCCTCAAATGTGGTTTGCATGACTGTAAAAATATGACGAGGAAGGGCGGTTCGATTTTATGTACTGGCGTCTGCCAACACAAGACGATATTAATATCCTGTACAAAAACAATCTGACAGGATATGAAATTACCCCGTCCGTTTTAAATATTTTGTAAATATCCAGAGAAGTTTTTTTTTTAGGGCAGCAAATATACTGGGAAGGTCATTGCTGGGCGGATGAAAATTCGCGGGATTGCATTTAATTAGGAAGTATGTTTCCCTGTCTTCATTACACGCAAGGCGATCTTTTAATTCGTAAAACCGCCCACATAATTAAGACAGACAATGTTGTGTTTAATGTGCGACTTCCTCCGAGGAAGATGGTGCCAAACCTTTAATAATTGGTTTTAAGACTGAAGTTACCACAACTATCGGTGGATCGGGGAACGCCCCCCCCCCCCCCCCAAACGATTTTTTTTTATAATTGGAGGTTTGAAGACACCTTTGTTTTAAAGTCTCAGGAAATAAATTAATATTACAATGGAACTTATACTGAACCCCTTCCTCTTTTTGAAAAAAAGGTAATTTCGAAAATTTGGTTCTGGATCCCCCTATACTTAGTCGGTTTTTGGTAAGCGTAACTTATTAACAAGGGCGGATCCAGAACAATTTTTTTCGGGGGGGGGGAACAAATATTTTGGTCCCCCAAAAATTAGGTTCCAAAAATTACGGCGTGGGGTTTGGGGCCCGCTTAAGGGCCCCGACATTCTTTTGGATTCTAGATGCTCTGTGGTGCAATCTGAGACAATTTCTGTCCACTTTAACCAAATGTCTTTGAGGAAAAGATGGTGGTGTACGCAGTGCCTGCCTCTAATGCGACGTCACTTAAACAAACAAATTGGGTTCTTGTTTTCTTTTAAGGGGGGGGGGGGTTCATGCCCCACGTTGGGCCCCCGGATCCGTATTAACTTATTAACTCACAAATGCCATGTGTGTTTCGTGCTAATTTGACAGAGAATAAGAACAAGGCAAGTCTAGTAAATCCGATCGACCATATGGCTACCCACTGGAAGACTTTTTTTATGCATGTTATCTACACAATGGGCTGGATTTTATTGGGTCAATCCTATACGACGGCACTGCCCAGCTAACAGGTGACTGAGGGTCAGTGATAAAGACAGGTACAGAGAGGATACTGGGCCGGCCCTCTGGAACCAGCTAAAAACCTCTAGAATCAAAGTTTGGGGAATGGAACCTACGTGAGTGAGTTGATGAAGAACCCCGGTTCGCAGCAGTACTTGTCTGTAGCTGTGCCACAGCACGAGAGCTCGTCAGACGTATCATGGGTCACCATGCACTGGAAACCTTCGTGGTAGTCCTTATTCTCGTCGTAGTAACCTTCGCAGTACTCTCCCAGAACTGAAGGCAAATGGGAAGACAATGATTTTTTTTCTGAATTACATTGATGCAGCTATTTACCACGCATATTCATTCTTGAAAATGATGTAGGCTAAAGGGTAAAAACGAAACATCAAAACCAAAAGCAAAACACGTACGCGTCACGTTTGTTCTTTATCATTTTTTTTTAATGATCTATACGATCAGTTATTATTTTATGATAGCAAGTTTTACAATTCGCTTCCTCAACCAACTTCTTACAAGTATTACAACGCGTTAATAACAATTGCAATTTTAGAATAACTTTTGGTTTCTATATCGCGATCTTGCTTTAAACTGAGCCTCGTTTTTTTAACTTGAATTATAACTCCCCAACCTCTGGGAAATTATTTGGACATATAAAATAATAAATAGGAAATGAGACCAAATGCACAGGATGCGAAAAACAAAAAGGAGGAGCCTTGCGCTCGAGATGAAACATGCACATATAAGAAACTTTAAGACGAGAATAGTTTGTTTTTAATCTGAACCTTTCATGCTCTTAGTTAAGGGAAAACATATATTTGGTAGTTGTACTCACCCTCTGTTACCGATAATAAACCGTCTGGTTCCCCTGCTAAACATGGCGGCACGGCAACAAGTAAAAATCCCACTAGAACGGAAACACATAATCCTCGACTGCCGTTCATGTCTGCCACATTAGAACGAAAAATGACTTTGAAAAAGTCTCCTTATACATCAAGGTCTAAAATGTACGTTTTGTCAATAGAACTGGTTTTAAGAATATAGAACTGCCCAGTGCGTAAAATGTCGGGTCACGCAGTTACGAATATTCCGAAGGAAAAAAGAAGTTGGACGTTTTACGTGTACTCATTACCTTCCTGACGTCAACTGGGGGCACCCTTAGCCTGTGCAGAGGGTGTGGTCTTTTGAAGTAGCCTATTTCTTGTAGGATTTCTTTGGGGAAGGGAATAGTCCAGGCTAGGCTTAGGGGTAAGTCTAAGGGAAAGCAAAGTATGAGTAATACCCATGGGAGTTGGGGACTGAGTTCGTCGGAGGCGAGGACTTTAATTGCAGGTTTCCTTTTCACGTCACAACGAGCAGTGGAGATAAAACTATACATGACTGCCCGACGACCAGTGACAATATGCAGTTGCTCTCCAGTATTGTGAATTCTCCCAGATTTTTTTTTGTTAAATCGCTACTTATGTTCTCGTCTGCTTGCAACACGGATCGCAGAAAACCCGCCGCCGTTTAGTAATAACTTTATAAATTTCGAAATATTTGGGGTTTTTGGTACGTCGAAGCCGGGCGCAAAAGCAAACCCAGAATGGCTTTTTTCGCAGAGGGTTGCAGACGCCACTTTTGCTTACTGATAAAACACAGGTCTGCAAATTGAAAAGTCAGGAGAAGAGTGGACCTTTTGAAGAACACGTCCAGAGCAACTCAAGAGGATCGAACTCAGTCCAACAGTCGAGCAACTAACTGTATCATAATATCTTGGCGAGGCTATGGGCTCCGTGCACAAGTGCCCCCTCACCTGCTAGAAAGGGAGAGTTGAAGGAGCCGGCCATCGGGAGAGCCGCGGCGTAGCTAGGGCTTCTCATCCTATAGGGGGCGAGTGCGGGGGGGGGGGGGGGCTGGATGTTACAGGGGGGGGGGGGGCGCCCATTTCATCCGTGTTGAAAGGTAGACACAACAGTTTGTTTTCACCGGACACCCGGCATCCGTAAATAAAAAGGTGGGGGGGGGGGGGGGGGGGGCTGGAAACCATCTTCCCGGGGCGCTCTTCGAAACCGACATCAAGGTCAATGTCAGACAACAGGTGGCGCTATTCGCTTTCAACGGAACGTCACAAATAAACTTAGCCGATGGCAAAAGCAGGATCTTCGTGAAAAATAAACAAATACATGTAAATAGAAGGAACGTTATTTTAAACCCGCTGGTGTTTTTACCCGGTTGCCAAATTTTCAGCAGGAAGGGGGACTAGGGGCGACGATTTTTTTAGGGGGGGGGGAGGCGCCTACCACGCCTCCCCCGGCCCCGCCCCCAGTGGCTACACAGCTGCGGGGCGACATTCGAACGCCCCTCCGACGACGCCTGACGCTCACGCGAAGACGCTATGGCTCATACACTGCAGTTCTATTCTTTCGAAAAACGGTAAAGCTTGAATGGAAGACTTCTGCTGAGTATAGAGTTATTCCAAATTCTTTACTATCAGAACATCAGGATCTTCAGAGTTGATGATGCCAAAAGTGATGATTTTTTGGCCCCAGATACGCCTACACTAATGACGGCTACCTTGATGCATGTATTATCTGGGATCTGCAATATATGTTTTCTAGGGTTCTCAATGGTCTGGAGATTTCTGCCTATGATCTGGCTGATTGGGTTTTGAGCACTTTCCCGGGGCTTTCAGACTTTTGGAAGTCTAAAAGTTTCTCATTGCTGGGTCTCTGCCATTTGCATAAATGTCTGCTATACTTGAAGAAAATTGAATTAATTATATGAGATGAAATCCTCAATTGAGTTTCAAAAACCCACTAATTAGCATTTGATATACTGCGCTACTGAATGGAAGTTAAATAAATACCCGACGTGTCACTTTTATATACACTTGGGCTACGAAGCGGTAAAATCGCACGATTTGGAAATAAGCTATCGGACTTTCGCTTCATTGGGGTGCGGTGCCACTTAAGAGCAATTATAACATAAACCTTTTGTAAGTTTGATAAAAACATTCCAGGGAAAAAGAACTCTCAAACTATACAAGTGAAATGTAAGGTCGTTGAATTCTATATAGGCTAGGCCTAAAGATATATAATACTTAAATCAAACAGCATAGGCTGTCCTTTCGATTTCAATACATACAAAGCAAATTACAGCCAAAGACCCTACTTATGACAAGTGGTGCTATATCAAAGAGAGTGCATGCATGATGACATAATATTTGTCATGAAGCCCCGCCCCTTGAACTTGTCCCTCTTGCCTGATACGCGGTAAAACAGTGATCATTGTTAGACCGTTTCAATGGTTCCCAACAGTATGTCACATACTGCTGGGAACCATTGAAACGGTCTAACAATTGCCGCAGGGCCAACGGTTAATACTTAAATCAAACAGGTTGGTCCTGCGGCAATTTTCTTTTATGCAACCAAGTATAGTCAATGACCATAATGCGCATGCGTCAGTTGGTAACGAAATGGACTGGTTCTCGGACTCCGGGAGAAAATTCCATCCGAAGATGATCACGTCTACAAGCAGTCCTGAAGCCCATCGCCATTTTGAAAATTGACGCCTACGCTCCATTGCAAAATAGAGCCATTTTAGGGCCTAGTTTAATCCACATTTCACAGAAACGAGCTCGCAGTCCTCTGCACGGCCTCCAACCTTCTTGTTTACACATCATCAAGTTCACGGCCTTCAAAATGCTCTAATACTGAAGAATTTGAGGGCATGCAAATCTTGGTTTGGCTGGCGTAGGTAATTTCGGACCGATTTACTGGCCTGCACCCACACGATGTGTTTCACGCATGCGTATAATGGTCATTGTCTAATGACTATACTTGGTTGCATAAAAAAAATAATTGCGGTCGAGTACGAGAGCGATTTGGACTTTGGAGGAAGTAAAGTGCCCGCCAATTTATACACGGTACTATACATAGGGTGACGCCCCTTAACTGAATAAATGTACAACTCACTCCATTCCTTCACCCTGGGCGTTAGAATCCCGAGCCTTCGCCCAACTTCATGCTGACCGAACTGTCATAAAAAAACTATTAGTTCCTCGATTGGAACTTGCCCGGCACCCGGACGCATTTTAGACGGGACATAATCATCAGAGACTGACTTCAACTTGCCTAAGCTTGACAAAGCGAGAGTGCACCAGTAAAGACCTACAATTTTCTGCGGTACAGAAAAAGTCCTGGCGACCAGAAACAGAACTTGATCAAGGCGAACTGAACAGTACTGTTGTCACTGAGCGCCGTGACGTTGTTGGACACCTCTGTTTTTGAGGGGCTTTTCAAAGTCTTGCAAAGAGAACAAGTCAGAAAAAGCAAGGTAAGTTACTTCATAGGATAATTATTACTCTTGTCTTGAGAAATAAAATTTAATAGGGAGATGTAAATGAACAAAGCAAGTATACATTTATAAAAGGATGAAATTATAGACAGATCATTCGCAACATGAAACCCAAATAAAAACAGTCAAATATACTCAATGGATCAATCAAAGATGTAGAAAAGAACTTCCCGGGTGAGTAGAAAAAATTGCAATAGTGCAAAGAAGCCATCTTTTGTTCGAAACCAAGTTAAAGTTTTGAACTTTTAAACATTGTAAGAATGACATATTCATTAGTAACCTTGTGTGAAAAAATGAAGCTATTCGCATTTACCGTTTGACTTTTATGAACCTTTTTACTGCGGTACCAGATTTACGTTTTTGTCCACGAGGCGTCAAACAATTGCATAAGAGCACAACATGTGTTCCCAGAGCTGTTCTTTCCATGAGGTCTAGAGCTGAGACATGCATTGCCTTGCAGGGTTGCCAAGTAGACGGCAGAGCTGCAATTGTGTCAACAATGAAGGACATAGTAACCAGAAAAATAGTATAGCCCTGAGAAACGTTGCATTAACACAAAGAAGTGAGACAGAAAAATAAAGCTTGAGGTAAGGTTGAGTCAGTTTGAAATCTGTGTTGTCTATAATTTCTTGAGGCCTGAAGGAAAATATATCGAGGGTGCTTATCACGTAGAATTAAATGGAAGAGAAAAAAAATTAATTGACCAACCAATCGACAATCACCTAATGAATTGGCCAATTTCATGCTACTTCGCAATTCGCTCATACGCATGAAAAAAAGTTTCGTTTTACAGAATGCCATGGAATGAGGGACAGAAGACACAGTAATAGCATATCAGAAGCTGAAGAAGTACATACATGTATGAGTCTTTTCATATGAGTCACCAATTGTTTTTTTTTTGCAAAGGTAAATATTGATAGCCAATTATTCCTCTTTTGCGATTGTTTTAGCTCTTTTGTGTATTTGTTACACATTGTAACCCAATGCTGTGTCGACTGCCAGATACGAAAAACAACCAAAAACATATTTTTGAAAAGTGGAAGTGTACCTGAACTATGCAACTCAATGCTCTCAGGCTGGACAATTGGCGTCTTTTGATATACAATTTAATAAAACTACGTGTACATGTATAGTATTACATTTTCAGACTTTTCTGGTTTTGATAAAGCTGTGTAAGCACATCATCGGCTGAAGAATTTGGGAACTAATTTGCATAGTGCAAAGATACACAAATTTAGAAACAATTTGAATTAGACTTATATAGCTAACAGAATTGAATAACAATTATTATCAAATTCATACAGCTTGGTTGTTGTCTAAACCTCAAAGTTGATAATTCATTCTTATTAGTTTCTTATATAAACTGAAATATCTTCTCACAAATTAATTTTGTAATATATCAAGGCATTAATGATGGGCGCTTTAATACAGAATATTGTCCAAAACTCTTAAATCCGATCAGAACTCATCACATTAATTTTTTTGGCCCTTTAGGCCCTTCGGGACTCGGCCTGGCAACAACTCTTGGCCCTTTAGGCCCTTCAGGACTCCGCCCGGTATCAACTCTTGGCACTTTAGGCCCTTCAGGATTCCGCCCGGTATCAACTCTTGGCCCTTTAGACCCTTCAGGACTCGGCCTGGTAACAACTCTTGGCCCTTAAGGCCCCTTCAGGACTAGGCCTGGTAACAACAACTCTTGGCCCTTAACCGTGTCTGGTCAAAACTTATTAATTGTTATCATGTATACCTGGCATGGTATACGGTAACGACTATAATGCCACTGATTGTTGTGTTTAAATCACAAGCAAGTACATATAATACGAGCAAATTACAACAGCCCGAGTTGTTAAGTTGTTTTGTAGTGTCATTATTGGCCTGTCAAGACTTGGCCCCGGATAATATCTCCAAGCAACGAATTACAATTTTACATTGAACATATTTCGACAATTGCGAAAGTATTAACAATTATTGTTGTTATCACTAGTATGATAGTATCACAAAACGAGGCAGTGTTTATCTCCTGCATAATCACTGGAC